AGGTAGGATTTATTGTTGTTGCAATCTGGTTTCTATTTGGCTTCATTGGGCACTTTAAAAGTTTTTATCAATTCTAAATTGTGCAGCTGCAGCCCCAAGGGACAGATCTCTGCCTTGGGCGGTTTGGGAGGGCCCTGTGGGGCAGTTGGCTCCCCCCTGTGGGCCCGGAACCTCAGCCCTATCCCCGGGATCGCGGGGGTGCCAACTCCAGTCTTCAGCTGCTTGAGGAGCAGCTTTCCTTGCAAGGATAGGCGGCAGCAGTGGCTTCGGCGCCGCGTGGAGCACACAAGCCGCCCGCGGAACAGCTGATCGCTCCGGGCGGCTGCCGCTCCATCAATATTTATCTTGCTGCTGAGGGGGATGAACGGGGGTGAGGAGAGCGTGCCTGGGTGCCACATGGCTCTCCCCAACTCTGATTAGTGCGGTGCCGGTTCCTGGAAGCCCGGCTGAGCCGCTTGATCTAGTTGCCGGCCTTTTTGCCCGCGCACGGAGTTCAGGTGGCCATTTTGGAGGTCGCCACGTGCGCGGGGCCTTTACTTCGGCCTACTTTGTGGGTGAGGCCTGGCAAGGGACTTTTTGGCCTAGTTCCCCCACAGGCCTTTAGGCCCTGGTCCCAGTGGGACCTTCGGAGGCCTGTGTCCTGCTACCTTTGTTGGACACGTGAGTGGGCTATGGACGAGGGAGCGGAGATTCCCCAGGGCCAGGTGGTGGGCTCGATTAGGGGCAAGGAAGCCCTAGAGCAGGAGGTGGGGCGGGGGGTTCCCCCGTGATCCTTGGCTGCCCAGCGCCCTTCTAGGTCCTCCACCAGCCAGGTGGCATAGGGCGATTGAGAAGACGTTTGCCAAGGCAGAAAGGCAGGCCCAGTCAGCCAGGCCTTCATCCCGAGACAGGTCCAGGTCCCCCCTCGGGCCTATTTCCAGCAGGTCTTCCCCTAGGGGGTTTAGCCCTGCTTCTTCCTCGAGCTCCCCCAACAGGCTTCGGGCCTATTCCAGGAGGAGGAGTTCCCCTTCCCCTTCAGGTGATCCTTTGGAGGGTACGTCTAGGGGTACCTCTCGCAGGTTGGCGCCTCAGGGGCCTAGTTCTGCTTATGGGGATGTAGAGGATTTGGATAACCTCCCTGAAGGGATTAAAAGGCTTATTTCTGCAGCCATCTCACGGGGCATTGCCCAGCGGAACAAGGGCTCTCTTTCTCCCAGGCATGGGGGGCTAGGCAGATCCCAGTATCGGGTGTCCTCTCCTTCCATGGTTAGCGAAGCTTCAATCTTGGGGGGGGGGGAACCTCCAGGACATGGGCTTCTCAGATGATGAGAATGCGGGTCTTCCAGACGAGCCCTCTTCTAAGGGCCTCTTTGTTCCAGCCATGTTCAAGATTCTCTTGGACAAGGCAAGGCAGACCACCAAGGTAGGAATGGGGGATCCTTCAGTGCCCCCCCCAGGGATCCTGACATGGCCATGTTCTCTGCCATGGCCACTAACAAGGAGGAGGTTCCAGCTCCTCCCCTGTTTCTGGAGGTCTTGACCAATCAGTGGGCTCGCCCCTCCAATTTTTCGGCTCCTGGGAGTAATGACTGCCGGCACTATAACGTGGAGCAAACCTTTGCTCAAGCCATTCAGCTGCCAGCCATTGACACCCCAGTGGCCGCCCTTGTTTCCTCCTTTCCGGTGGTATTGGGCGACGCGGCAAATAAGATGAAGCCAGAGGATAAACGTGCAGAGCTTACCTTGCAGAAGAATTTTAATGCCACAGCATGGGCTATCAAGTCCGCGGCCTCGGCCTCCTTCTTTAACTGCGCTACTGTCATGTGGCTTAAGAAGCTCCAAGAGCACATTCCCATTCAGGACGAGCGGGCTCCACCAGGATCTCTTTAAGATCATGGCGGCCTGCCAATTCTCAGCTGATGCAACCCTGGACACGGTCAAGTTTGCTTCCGGTGCCTTGGCCACCTCTGTCACCTCTCGTAGGCTCCTTTGGCTGCGTCACTGGCAGATGGATAACAAGGCAAAATGGGATTTGGCGGCCGCCCCCTTCAAGGGGCCCAATCTTTTCGGGGAGGCCCTTGTCCCCATCCTAGTAGAGGATAAGGTCAAGAAGAAGGTTCTTTCTTCTAATGCTAAGAAGCCTGAGACTAAGTCACGCCCTTTCCGTAGACAAAGGTATAGGTTTGCGGATTACGGCTATAACCAGCGTTTTTCTTCCTTCCCAGCTGATTGACAGTTCTCT